ATTATTATTTGTGCCGCCATCTCCGACACGCAACGGCCATGACCAGATGGCATCTTTCGTGTCTACTGCGCCAGGACACTCACCACCACCACCAGGTGCCTGTTCGATCCAAAGTGTCTGAAGTGTGCGGAGGATGATGATTCACTGGTGAACAATGTGAACTTGGCACTGGCACTGGACAGAAACTGTCAAGGCCAGGGCAGGTCGCGGGATAGCCGTCATCTGTCGCACTGGCACCGTCACCGAAGAACTATCTCCATCTCTGGCCATTAGCGAGACACGCGCCACTGGCGTAGTGCCATCAACGGAGTGCCTTCCCCTGGCGTCCCCTTAGCAGTAGGCGTAGTCTCATTCTTTCTCTACTCTCACACTCTTTGACTCACGCATTCACACACAGCTGTCTCTCACTCTGGTGTCCTCTGTTTACATTGGTTTGGCGGTGAAGCAAACGATTAGAAAATTCTTTCGATTCAGCAGCAGCAGTAGAAGGTCGAGAGGATCCTCCAGTTCAAACAAACGACAATGATGCTTGTAGTGTTGTTCTTCAACGACTTTCTCAGTGTTTGTCTACTCGAGGGTGGAAGGAAAGGAAAAGGGAGAGGACAGCTAGCTGTCAAACAACCGTCAACTCTTGTCAAGTGCCATCAACTTCGACACTGATCAGTACCGTTGCGCACCCATTTCATTCGGCGCACTAATTGGCGCTAGAGTGGCTGCAGCACCGTTTCCAAGACTCAAAATTAAACTTATCACCCCCCACTTTTTGTCTGTTTGTCTGCCTGCCTGCCTGACTGTAAAAGACTACTCACCACTCTTCTTTACCTCTACCATCTGTGGCGCAACCACTGCCAATGTGTGCGTCTGTCTTGCAGCACACACACACACACATTGAGCTTTCTACAACGGATCCACTTTCGCTCAACCCAAAGCCTGTACAACAGAGCACCAGCAGTACAGCAATCGTCTGCAGAGTTTTTTCGAGTTGTTGTTTGCCCCTCACTTTCCCCTCGATACACTGTAAACACCTAATTCGCCAACTATTGTTTAGCCTTTTGTTTNTGTCTGTTTGTCTGCCTGCCTGCCTGACTGTAAAAGACTACTCACCACTCTTCTTTACCTCTACCATCTGTGGCGCAACCACTGCCAATGTGCTCAATGTGTGCGTCTGTCTTGCAGCACACACACACATTGAGCTTTCTACAACGGATCCACTTTCGCTCAACCCAAAGCCTGTACAACAGAGCACCAGCAGTACAGCAATCGTCTGCAGAGTTTTTTCGAGTTGTTGTTTGCCCCTCACTTTCCCCTCGATACACTGTAAACACCTAATTCGCCAACTATTGTTTAGCCTTTTGTTTGGCCATCAACGGCGACCATAAATCAGCATCAGCTGCTGGCGAATCGGGTCAACAGGTCTCGTCACTAACCAGACACCACAGCAACACCACAAAAACACGTAAGTAGTGCCTCCGATGGGCACCTAATTAAAATTATCACTAGTGTGACACATTGGCACGACAGTTATCGCACTAGCACAACACTGCACTACACTACACATTTCTGTTTCCTGGTAACTGAAGAGTGTGTCGCCTTCTTTAAAATTTGCCCGAAAGGGAGTGCTTCATCTTCAGCTCTTCAGCTGGCCACTGGCCACCTCGACCTGTCACTGTCACTGTCAAAGAGACAAATGCAGCAGCAGCAGATGCAACATCAACAACAACAACAGCCTGTTCACTCACTCTCACCTGACCTTGACTGGCCAGTCACTGACGTGAACGAGGCAGCAATGTGCATGCAATCTCCACTTCTAATAATCAACACAACGCACTTTTTGTTTCTTTTTCCCAGTTTTCTTCGTTATCTGACTTGAAGAGATCAGCCACAACTATTACAACCACCTTTCCAGCCAAAGCAAACTAATACCACTTCTGTTTACTTTTCTCACCCACTTCCTCGTGAATTCTCTTCAGCGCACTCCACCCAGCTTCTGTGCGGATGCTGCTACTTACGTTGCTGCATTGCAGATGGTTCAGCGCCTGAAAAGCCCCTGAAACAGCCTATATTGGCCTTCTCTAGAGGACTTCGGTAAGAGAGGCTCCTGCACCAGCAGCAACAGAACGTCCCACCATGGAGAGCAGCCATCTGTCGCACAGTCGACTAGAGGAGCAAGAGAATGCCTACTCCTACCACAACAACAACAACGGCACCAGTAAGGTGGTCAAAGTTAGTCTGAGTATGTCAGTCTCCGAAAGTCAGACCTGGAAGCGAAAGACCACCGTCAGCACCTCCAGTCAACTGGCCTCTTCAATGGACCTTCGAAGTCACTGCGAAGAGGGCGTCTGTTTGGCGGGCGAAGGACTGACAGCCTGTTCGCATGCGCATCGCCACCGGAGCGCCAAGACGGTCACTCCGCCGCCGCCGCCAGTCACTGAATCGGCGGCAGTCCACCAAACAAGGCACAGTAAGAAAACTGAAGCAAACAGGTCAGTTTCTTTTGATTTACTTAAAGCATTAAAAGGGGGTGATGTGCAAGGAGAGTCTTTTGATGATAGAATTTTTTTATTTGTTTACTTCATGACACCAAAAAGGACAGTTGCAGGCTGATGTTGTTGAAGTGCCCGTAAAATAGATACACGCAAACAGCTGAAAAAGTTCTATCGGTAGGATTTCTGGTAGCGAGCACGGGCACCGGGGCCGCCGAACTTCTTCGGCTCGCATCGTCGAGGATCAGAGACGAGCAGGCTTCGGTCGTACTGGATCAGAATGTCCTTGATCTCCTTCTTGCTCGCCTCATCGATGAACTTTTGGTAGTAGGCGACGAGACCCTTGGAGATGGCCTGGCGAATGGCGTAGATCTGGGCGACATGACCACCGCCGCGAACTCGCACGCGGATGTCAACCATGTTGAACCTATCACAATAGGGGGAAATGCACAGTCAGATGACAGTTCTCAGTCAGCGATCACCAGTTAGGCACGTTAAGGCACTTACTTGTCCTGGCCGAGCAGAAGGATGGGCTCCTGGAGCTTGTATCGGAGGACCTGCGGCTGCAGCTGGTCAAGGGGACGCCCGTTGACGTGGATCAGGCCATGGCCAGACTTGCAGTAGGCGACAGCGGTGGCGGACTTCTTTCGGCCAAAAACCTGGACCGAGTTTGTTCTGTGGTGAACAATTTTAGCCGTCAAAAGTTAGCTCTAGGGATACCGGTGAAAAGGCTCGGGTACTTACGGTTCGGCGCTCATGGTGAATCCGAGGATTTGGGAGTCGGGTTGTGTAGCAGTGTACTGCTTCGGAGCTCAACGCGAAAGGAACGAGAGGAAAAACAGTGGCCAGCTCGCTGCTCAGTGTCTTTCCGGCACATGCCCACTGCCCCTGCCTAGTGCTTCAGAAACGTGGTGATCGCCGATTTGACTACTGTAGCTGGGGGCTGCACTGCACCGAGGTGGGCGCTGACTTTGCGACTACGACGCCCGCTCGTAGATGAGGTGACGGAGAGCTAGTGGCAGTTTAGGTGGCGGCTGATTGGCTAGTGGTTGAGCGGACAGTTGATTGTTTTGTGTCGTCTTCGGAAAGGAAGAGAGAAGAAGAGAGTTTTTATTTGTTGTGAGCAGAGCGGCCACCGTCTCTGGCCGCCTTTTATCTCTAAATTCCGAATACTTCTTCGAAACATGGTGTCATATGATCGTCAGCACCATTTCTTATCGTCTCCTTCTTCTCTTTTACCTGTAGCACCTCGTCTTCAAGCACAAACGTTCACAGCATCTACGTGGACTATCTAAATCAAAGCTCTGAAGAAAGGTATGAGTTGTCATTGTACTTTGAAATTATATGTACAACTTGTCATCTTTCTTTCTTTCCAGGGATCGCTCAAAGACTGACTACACTTACGCGCACAGCTACAGCTACAGTCCATTTGTGTCAACCAAAGAACGCAACAATTGGCGAGTGCCAAACATGTCTCGCCAAAGTACTCGGTTCTATCAAAGTTCTGGCCCTTTTCTCAACAAAGATCTCATGACGCAAAAGACATCAACTGACTACGCGAACGACAGCATGTCATTGAACCGAAGCTCAACAAACAATTATTCGACCACAACCAGGACGAGTTCTGTAAGAAATGGCCGGCGTTACAGTTTTACCACTGACGATGAGGACGATGACGAAATGAACAGTATAACCAAAACTACCTTTGCTACCTTGAGTAGTAACCGGCGAAAGTGCCTTGCTTGGTCGGCAGTATTCTTATTTTTACCCATTCTGCTATCAAGTGGAGCTTACTGGTACATGCTAAGTACTGGAGGCACTTTCGGCCAGACCTTACATGACATGAGCTCATCAACCACTTCCCGGTTCGCTTCGATTTGGGACAGTATTAGCTTTGGCTACCAATCACCACATGAAATGAGTAACTTTGAAGACTTGACACAACCTAACTATGAAATTCAGTTATTGCGAGAGGAAATAGAAAGAATGAAAGCATTTCAAAAGGCTGAAACTGAAAAGCAATCTGCCAGCAGCAAACTACCCGCTCACTCTCCTCTGCCATCTCCATCGCCATCTCCAAACTACGACGAAGTTCTCGAGCGTTTGGAGCGACTTGAACTCCAGTTGACCAGTTGCTGCAAAAAGAACACCAACTTAACGCAAATCATTGAGTCTGAAGTGAAGCACATCGTTGACTCCAAGTTGAGTCATTTTCAGACTAAATATGATCACCAACTTGAGCTTGAAATTGACAAAGCAAAAACGGCAATGTTGGAGCTGGTGCGTGAACAGGCGACCAACTATTCGCTCAACAAACCAAGCGGTGCATTTGATGCCGCCGACGTGGAGACAATGATTCGGAATGCAATTACAAAGTATGACGCTGACAAGACCGGCGAAGCTGACTATGCTTTAGAATCATCAGGTAAGTCTTTGACAGACAATGGTTTTTTGCAGTTGGAATATGACAACTGTTTTTGTTTGCAGGCGCTTGGATAATCAATACTCGATGCTCGGAAACGTACGAAGTTTTCTCTGCCACTTATAAGCTTTTCGGCTTGACGCTGTGGAAATCAAAGACAACTCCACGGACGGTCATTCAGTCGGGCGTCGTGCCAGGGGAGTGCTGGTGCTTTAAGGGCAGCGAAGGGCGCATCGGCATTCACCTCGCTGCGCGAATCATCCCAACGTCATTTAGCTACGAGCACATTCCAGTATCCATTTCGCGAGATGGCCACATTCAATCAGCGCCGGCCAATTTCGCCGTCTACGGTTTGAATGCGGAAGACGACGTCGAGCCCGCACTGCTGGGCGAGTATCGCTACCAGATTGGCGAAAATGACCAGCCGCTGCAGCGCTTTGAGGTGTCGAAAACCGTTACGGCACTGCAGACCTTCAAGTACGTTGAGCTGGTTGTCAAGTCGAACCACGGTCACCCTGAGTACACCTGTCTCTACCGATTCCGTGTTCACGGAAAGCCCGTCTTTGATGAGGAAGTTTAACTTGAGTGAGAAAAACCATTTTCAACGAAATCAAACAAAACAAACATTTACGAATGCTATTCTTGAAACCGCCTTAAACACAATCGCCTTAACAAAAGCGCCTTTTCTTGTCATTATCAACTGAACGCAATAACTACTTTATCGCCTGTATTTACTCATCCCCTTTTCCATTTTATTACGATTAAGCGAACTTCCCCATTGGACTTTGATTCCCATCACCCCTCATCATCCTCATCTGCCATTCTCATTGCCAAAAGAAGAAGAAGGTAAACAACGCTTCTCTAATTTATCTATAACCTGTTAAACAAACAAACACAAATCATGTACAAAAACAATCAACCATTTTATTTATCTTTATAAAGTCTCTCATTCCTCTGGTTATCAACTTGATAGAGATTTTATTGTTGCGCGTTTTCCCTGTGAAAGACAAAGCGATTAGGCAGTAAAGAAAAAGAAGTAAAAGCGATTAGGAAGAAAAGAAAAGCTCTTGAAGCAACTGCTGAGTGTGCTCAGGACTGGTGACGGAGTGGCCGATGGTGCGAGGATCGGCAAACAGCTCGTAGTCATTGCCACCGGGGAAGGTTCGGTCGCCGAAGAAGTAGATGCGGTCAAACTTCGCCTCGACGTACTGCAAACAGAAGGTTTTGTCCCAGCCGACGGGGAAGCAGTCGATGCTGATCTGCCCTCCGAGCGAGTACTGCAGGCCAAACTCACTGCCGAACTCCGCTTTCAGGGCGCTCACCATTGTCTCGCGGACTTTGTGCTGCTCATCGTAGGCGGCAAACTGAAGGCGCTCCTCCTGCGAACAGGTGCGACCGATTGGACAGACGTTGATCATGCCGGTGCGGAACTCAATGAAGTTTCCCCTCTTGACGGGAATTTCAATGCCGCCGAGGTAGCGCAGGCAGAAGTTGATGAAACGCTGGCACTTCTCTTCGCCGATGACGCCCAGCATGCTCTTCTTCCCTACCAGCTTACCTGCCTCGTAGGCAATTAGGCCGTTCTCGCTGAAGACGTAGTCGTACTTGTTGACCACCTCGTAGATGGCCTGCTCGGCGTCAAGCGCTTTCGGTGACATCTGCTCGGCAATCTTGCCCAGGTCAGAGCCACCGACGAGGCCCACTTTCACCTTCTTTTTCAGCTCACCCAACAGTGAGTCCATCTCTTCGGTGACAGAAAGCCGAGACTTTGTCAACGTCCCATCAACGTCAAAGAGAACGATTGTTTTGCTGAGATCCATGTTGATTTTTTGAAAGATTGCCTCTAGGTAGGGAGATGACAACGACAGCGTTCAAATGATGACGACTGGCAGTGGTTGAGGTGATCTATATACTGCCAGGTGGCTGATGTAGCTGATGTAATAAGTGGATGTTTCGAGGTAACTTACGAACCGGTGCTAAAGACAGGTCATCACAGTTGAAGTTGGTCACGTGATGAACACGTACTCGAAAGTGGCACGTACTTTGTGAAAGTATTTGGCGCCAGGCGACCAGAGAGGGAGCACCGCCCAATGGACATCTTTCTGGTTATCTTTGATGCTGATAACCTTATCTGCTTTTAAAATCTGGCGGTCAAGTTTGGTTTTTATATATTTTTCATTCCTTCTACTGATACACTGCTGTTCTCACANAGTATTTGGCGCCAGGCGACCAGAGGGGGAGCACCGCCCAATGGACATCTTTCTGGTTATCTTTGATGCTGATAACCTTATCTGCTTTTAAAATCTGGCGGTCAAGTTTGGTTTTTTTATATTTTCCATTCCTTCTACTGATACACTGCTATTCTCACGCAGCTTGTCCTCAATTTCACTAACCGTTCTTGATTTTGGTCAGCAGCAACTGGTGCCAAAATCAAAATTCGCAATCGTGTCTTCTTCCACGTTTCTGAAGATAACGGCTTGATTCGATTATCTTACAATTGATCGCTCGCAGCTATGATAATTCAAAGTATTTTCTGGCTCATCAGTTGATAGTGATTATTAGCTGCAACCATTCAAGGGTACTCAAAGTACAACGTTTGTACTTCTTGAAGATTTGCCAATTAAAGATGAAATGATCATTTTCTGACAACTGTTTTGACCAAATTAAAAATTGGACTTGATTAATTTTAAAAGTTCTTTTAAAATCGAACTTTTTTAAACAGCAACAATGACCGTTCCATTTTTTAGTCCGTTTTTAATCAGAAGGACTTTTTATACATGGGTCATTTAAAGTGAAAATTGAAAAAGATTGCCAGATTGCCAACTGAAGCTTCAACCGCAACAAACTCTAAGCAGCAATGTCTCGCTCAAGCAGTAGCTCAAGCCAACCTAGTCCGGTTTCCAAGAAGAATGCTCTCAACAGCTACGTGGACATGGACTTCTCCATGGGCATCACCAATATGATGCGTGTTCCAGAGCAGATCACGCTGGACAGCGTCGCCAATGAAGATGGCCGTTCAGGTAAAAAAGACTCCTTTTCAATGGAGATCCCTGAACGCATTGTCATCTCCGGAGAGGAGAACCAGGCATTGTCCAGCACTGATGGCAATGAAAGCGAGGAAGTGGAGGATTCCACCGTTGGGCAAAAGGTGGATGACTCAAAGCACAATTTTGGGTAAATTCATCATGAGTTTGGTTACAGGTCAGATTGATTTAAAACTTTTTTTTATTACCCTAAATACAGCTCTTCCAATGCCATCGGTCTTCAGCTGCAGCAGATGTCTGACCGTTTGACGGCTCTTGAGGCGGAAAACCGAGCTCGCAATGGCCGCGAAGTCATCCTCTGCGGTGGCATTCTTCTTTACATGATTTTCCGCGGCATCAGCTCTTATGCAGTTCAGAATCTGAACCGCTTCTAATGAAGAGGAGCTACTTTCTTGCCAAACTCTTTTTGGCCGCTCTCTTTTCGGTCATCGAGCATTTAAGCTGCTTAATTAAAATCATTTAATTTCTCTCTTTTGACGCAATCGATTGATTAAATCAGGCGATTGCCTCTCGTGATCCTTTCGTCATCAAAGGGACATTCACATGATTATCTTCGACACACTTCAACGAGAAACAAGTTCAAAATCTGGCAGTGCATAGTACAGTACATTTTCATTGGGTATCCTCGATCTCCTTTTTT